GTCTTCAGACTGAAACATAACAACAATAAAAAATCAAATAAAAAGTCCAAAGTAGACGATGATCTGATCGTGTGAGTCATCAATGATGATCAATAACAAATGTGTTCAAATAAAATTATAAAAATACTGAACTACAATAGTCCAGTTGTTTATAGAATAAATAACAATTAATAATAAAATAATAAAACATGTAACTAAGAAAGAGTTTCATAAAGTCAAATATTGATTAACGATGAGTGATGTCGTTTGTGTTTCATAAACAACGATCAATAATAAAATAAAATCAGAAGAAATACCAGTAAATAAAATGTAAACACAGACTGAACAGCTGCAGCAGCAGAAGGTTTGTCTGTGTGTCAGATGACGATCAATCATGTGGAATCGATGACCAATAATCAGCTGATGGTTACTTCCTGTTGTGTGTCTGCAGACTCCAGCGTGTTCGACGGCTCCGGCCTCCCTCCGTCCTCCGGCAGCCAAAGTACGAACTCTCGCCACTGATTTAACGTAACTGAAGCGATAAACCCGACGCTCACCTGTCTGTGCTCCTCCTCAGGTGTCACCTCCCCGACCGTGTTCGCTGTGGGCGGAGCTCCGGGCGCCGCCGGGTCTCCGGGACCCAAACGGAGCGGCTCGGGAACCGGGAACACGCTGAAGGTAGGAAGCAGGGCGGGAAGATGGTCGACTGGATTTATTAAGAGATGGTTCTTTTCTGTTTGGTTTTGTTTAGTTTGGTCAGACGACCCGTTTTAATGAGTCCAGATGATTTACTGAGTCATGTATTTATACTGCAGTCATGTATTTATACTGCAGTCATGTATTTATACTGCAGTACTGGTATCAGCAGTACTCCCACTACCATGTATCAGTACTGACCTGCGTCCTGTTGCAGCGCTGGTTGACCAGTCCGGTCCGCAGGCTGAGTCAAGGAAAAGCTGACGGACAGAAGAAACCTCCAATCAGAACCAGGAGGCGGGACAACCGGCCGGAGCTGGCCACGCCCCTCACGGGCAACACACAGGCGGTAAACAAACAAACAAGCAAACAAATAAAGACCAAATTATTCAGGAGCACCGAGTCATTTTCTCTCTTTGGTTCCCCAGAAGGCGAGGAAGGAGGAGGCGGGGCATAGCGGCGGGGAGGAGGAGCCAGAGGAGGAAGGCCCCACCCCCTTGCCGCCACCGATGCAGATCATCAAAGACCCGAACAACCCCGAGGTGACGAACAGCATCTCAAACTGAGAAATGAATAAAAATGTCTCGCTTTATTTCCATAAACTGAATTAAAATATATTCGACGTAACCTCAAACACATCCGTGTGTTTCTACGGTTACGGACAGTTCAGCGACAGCGACTAGAAACACGAGTGTTGGTTCGGTCATTTTACAGACTTGACGGCTACTTTTTTAACTTTCTTTTGTAAATCGAGTCACTTCTGTGTGCAGGCGCTGGACTCGGATCAGGGATCGAACGAGTCGGACACGGAGCAGAGAAACAAGGCGCTGAGAGGACGAATGTGAGCAGAACTAACACTCAAACATGAGCTTTAGGGGAACTCGTCTGAACCGAGACTTTGTCTTTGTGCAGGTTCGTCGTTAACGAGATGGTCCAATCAGAGAAGGACTACGTGAAGGACTTGGGGGTGATCGTCGAGGTGAGGAACTTGGTTTTACACTCGTTGTGCCTCCAGGTTTATGTTTTATTAAAATGACAGAAACAATAAAAAACATCTAATCGGCTGAATGTCAAATGAAATGAAACTCGTGTTTGGACAAAGTCTACGGGGCAGGACTCGACTCGACTCAGGACTTGTTGGTCTTTACTTGAACCGTGATTTTGAAATGTGGCTTAAGACTTGTTTCTGACTTAGAACTTGACTTGGGACTTGACTCAGGACCTGTTAATTTGACCCAGGTTTTAACTCGGGACATGACTCGGGACTCAGGACTTGTTGGTTTGACTCAGAACTTGACTCGGCTCCTGACCCAGGGCTTGATTTGGGTCTGACCTAGGGCTTGACTCAGGCCTTGACTCGGGACTTGACTCAGGTCTTTACCCAGGACTTGACTCAGGTCTTTACCCAGGACTTGACTCAGGTCTTTACCCAGGACTTGACTCAGGATTTGTTGGTTTTGACTCTGGTTTCAACTCAGGTCTTGACCAGGGACTTCACTTAAGTGTTGACTAAGAACTCAACTCAAGAATTGTTGGTTTTGACTCAGAACTTGACTCCGGACTTGACCCATGACTCAATTTGGGACTTGATTTGGGTCTTGACCCAGGAACTGATTCAGGAATTGTTGGTATCGCCTTCATGCTTGACATGGTTCTTGACTCGGGACATGACTCGAGGTAAATGAAACTAAGTCTGTCTCTGTTTCTGTCTGTCAGGGCTTCATGTCGCGGCTGGAGGTCAGAGGAATCCCGGAGGACATGCGGGGAAAAGACAAGATCGTGTTCGGCAACATCCAGCAGATCTACGACTGGCACCGCGAGTCCGTGTCACGAACAGACACACAAAACAACACAACAGACACACTAACCAACACAACCTGTCAGCTCACTGTGGATGTTCTTTTCTTCCAGCTTCTTCCTGGTGGAACTAGAACGTTGTGTCCAGAACCACGACCTCCTGGCGGACCTCTTCATCAGACACGTGAGTTCTACAAACAGTGACTTGTTTTGGACAAAGTCTACAACGTGGGTAGGACTTGACCTGACTGGAGAATTGTTTGGTCTTGACTCAGGACTTGACTTGGAACTGTTTGATAGTTATTTGAACCTTAATTTTGAAACTCAACTCAAGACTTGGTGGTCTTGACTTGAGACCTGACTTGGGACTTTTTGGTCTTTACTTGACCTGGAATTCGGTCAATCCTAACTTCGGAAATAACTCAGGACTTGGTCTTGATTTAGGACTTGTTGGTTTTGACTCAGGACTTGTTTTGGGACTTGACTTGCATCTTGACTTAAGACTCAACTGAGAAATCAACTTGGGACCTGATAGTCCTGACCTGGAACTCAACTGATTTTTTGATTTTTACTTGGACCTCTTGGTCTTGACTCGTGACTTGTTTTGGAATTTGACTCAAAACTTAACTCAGGATTTGACTTGGGACTTGTTTGTGTTGACACAGGACTTGATTTGAGACCTGACTTGGGACTTGGTCAGAGACTTGACTGAAGAAAGGCTGATCTTGACCTCAGACCTCCTGGTCTTGACTCGAGACATGTTGGCTTTCAGTCAGAACTTGATTTGCGACTTTGAATTGGCTTTGGACTTGGCTCAGGACTGGACTCGGGTCTTGACTCGGGTGTTGCTGTTGTTGCAGGAGCGGCGTCTGCACATGTACGTGGTTTACTGTCAGAACAAGCCGAGGTCGGAGTTCATCGTCATCGAGTACGAGACCTTCTTCGAGGTAACGCTGCTTCGTTCTGTTTTCATGTTTCATTTTTTACGTTGAATCTGTTGATATTTTATATATATATATATTTATTTTTTGATTTTTTTAGTATTTTGACAACTTTCTGTTTTTATCTTCATCTTTAATTTTATCTTTAAAACATCCGTCCTGGTTCAAGTCAAACAGTGACTTCACGAAACGGGCTGGTTTTTGAATGGAGTCTGGTTGGGACCAACTCAATCTGTCCGTCTGTCTGCAGGAGATCCAGCACGAGATCAGCTGCCGGATGTCCATCAGTGATTATCTGATCAAACCGATCCAGAGAATCACCAAGTACCAGCTGCTGCTTAAGGTCCGTACGGAGTTTTAACACGAGTCTGTCTTCGTTAGCTGTTACACAAACAACAAAAACAAGTGTTCGCTGTGTAGAAGCGGCGCTGTGAGGTTTGAACTCAACGTTTTCACTTGTAAAAGTATATTTATGTCTTTGAATTTGATAATTAACTTTCATGACTTGAGTCTGAACTGGTTGACCTTGATTTACGTCTTGACCCAGGACTCGGGTCTCGGAACTTGAGTCTGGACTTGCACTCGGGCTAACCACCTTCCTAGTTCAGTTTCATCCGATCTAACACGTGTTTGTTGTAATAGTTCCAGATGTTCAGGTTAAATCTGTCTGATTAACACCTGATGTACCTGCGTTTGTCCATCAGGATTTCCTCAAGTATACGTCCAAAGCAGGACTGGACTGCGAGGAGATCGAGGTGAGTCCAGGTTCACTCTCTCTGTCTGCTTGTCTTACATTTACAGGTTTACTGAAGGGTTTGACCCTGAAGAGCTGAGAACATGAAACGTTGTGGTTCTGTCCTTCAACCACAGCAGAAGGAAAATATAAATGATTCACCAGGACGGGAACCGAAGCGTCTTTAATGTTTAACAACCGTGTGTTTCATGTGCAGAAAGCTGTGGAGCTGATGTCACTGGTTCCCAAACGCTGCAACGACATGATGAACCTGGGACGCCTGCAGGGATACGAGGTACACCTGTCCACTCACCTGTCCACTCACCTGTCCAGTGACCCGTTTGTCCACCTGTCCACTCACCTGTCCACTGACCCGTTTGTCCACCTGTCCACTCACCTGTCTATACACCTGTCTATGCACCTGTCCACTCACCTGTCCGTCTAAATGTCTGATTACGTCACACTTTGTGCCTTTTATTGGCTGTTATTTATTAACAAAAGCATTTTAAATGTTGCTAAATGTCAAGCACCCAGTTTACTCTGCTGCCCCCAAGTGGCCAAAAGGTGATTAAATTAATTAGCTCTAACTGAACTGAAAATATAAACGAGCAAGAATAGAACCCTGAGGAACCCCACAAGTAATTATGTTTTGAGGTGAAGTACTTTCAGTTTTTTATTTGTTTGAGCAGCTATGTCGCCCCCAGGTGGTCAAAAATGATTAATGCAGTTTCAAAATAACAGAGCTTCATAAAGATTGTTTTGCTTTTGTTGATGCTTTAGAAATGTAGTTGAATTTTGGACTAAATTTGAATGGAAGCGTAGATAAAGAGACAGAAGTCTTTACCTGTCCGTCCTCACCTGTAGGGGAAGCTGACGTCTCAGGGGAAGCTGCTGCAGCAGGAGACCTTCTGCGTTTGGGAGCAGGACGGAGGAGTTCTGTCTCGCAGCAAAGAGCGAAGGGTTTTCTTGTTCGAGCAGATCATCATCTTCAGCGAGCTCCTGCGTAAAGGCTCCAACAACCCGGGGTACCAGTTCAAGAACAGCATCAAGGTGGGACCGGTGGCACTGTGGAAACGGGCAGGTAAGATTTACAAAGGCAGCAACCGTGTTAATGTTCTGATTGTGTGTCAACAGGTGAGCTACCTGGCGATGCAGGACAGCGTGGACGGCGATCCCTGTAAGTTCGTGTTGTGGTCTCGCGGCTCGGCGGAACGCTTCACGCTGCAGGCGTCCTCCAGCAGCATCAAGATGACCTGGGTGGAGACCATTGCCGCCCTGCTGGACGCCCAGAATAACTTCCTGTCAGGTGAGGAACTCCCTGCATCTCGTCTTTTCCATCCTCAGATCTCCTTTGATATCACGGAATCTTCCTGAATTCTCCTTGGACCTCACAAACTATAGGGCTTCATGAATCATCACGGATTCTTACAAATGTCTCTGATCGTCCCGAAAACATCTAAAATCGAAAACATCACTGAACCATTAAATCTGACATCCATAAGTTATCTGTCAACTTTAACCTCCTTAAAACATCCTTGACTCTCCCTAAATACCCTTCATTTATACCTGGAACATCCTTAGATCTATCTGGATCAAATATCCCTTGAATGTCTTTGAATTTCCCTGAATCATTGCTCGGTCTCCATCTTTAACATCTTTCATATGTTTTAATCTTCCAATAAATACACACTTGAAGCTTCCTCAATGTGCTTAACTTACAGACGTCCTTAGATCGATCCACCACCATCAAAATGATTAAATCTCCCTGAAATTGTCCTGAAACTCCCTAAAAACCCCGAAAACATTCCTCGATCTGTCTGAATTATATTAGCTGTTCAGTTCCTTCAGAACTCAGTCTTTCAGAAACATGCTTGAATCTCCTAAAATCCTTCTTCGGTGTTCTTGAAATGTTCCTGATTTTCCTCAACATCTCAGGTCACTTAAAACATCTTTGAATCTCCACAAACACCTGCGATCTTTGACATCTGATGAAGCTTACCTTTAAACATCCTCACATCTTCCTAAACACCCTTCATTTCCTTTTGAACCAACCTGGATGTCATTAAATCACCTTTCAGATCCTCAAACCCCCTTAAATCCTGAACTTGTCCAGATCCGGTCTGGGTTTAGTCTGATCCTGTTTGACTCTTAGTTTCCGTCTCCACAGCGCTCCAGTCTCCCATCGAGTACCAGAGGAAGGAGGGCGGGATCTCGGTGACCCGCCCACTATCATCAGGGCGACCTCCCTCAGCCCCGCCCACTCCGAACGGCCACGCCCCACAGCCGCCTCCAGACAGCGAGCAGGACGACCAGGTATGGATTCCCTCATCTACCCGTCTTTCCGTTAAGCCTGACCTCGCCCTGGTTCTTAACGCCGGTCGACATTCCTCCCCTCAGGAGCTGGTTCTGGTGCTGCAGGACTTCGTGGCAGTTCGGGAGGACGAGATCTCGGTGTTTCGGGGGGAGAAGGTCCAGATCCTGGCGTCCAACCAGCAGGGTCAGAGTCTGGTGTACCGGCCGGCGAACAGCGACTCTCCGGCCGCCGAAGGCTGGGTGCCGCGCAGCGTGCTGAACACACACTGACACACACACACAGGAGCAAACACACCGACAGCAGGGTCAGATTCTGGTTTACTGTCAACACACACTGACGAGCACTCCAGGTACCAACCAACAGGGTCAAAGGCAAGTCGGGGACTCGTAGACCCGCTGAAGATGGCCACGTCCGCCTGTCCGACACTCCGGTCTCAAAAAAACGTCTGCATGTTTCCTCAAGGCTGAACTGAAGCTCATCACGTCTGTCTTCTTATAGATCATCTCAGAAACAAAGCGTTACTCCAGTAAAGTTTTTAGCTTTGGTCTTAAGTTTTACAAAACACTGACTATTAAACGGACAGTGTTCACGTGGAAGGACAGAAGGGTGTCGATACATAAAACACCAGAAAGATATTCAGTTTACTGTCATACGAGTCAAAGAAAAGCAGAAAACACTCCGTTTTTAGAAGGTGAAAGTGACACCAAAACTTGATTTAAATGATTACCTGAGGTATAAAACAGCCGACCAATAGCAACTAACGCTTATTGAGACAAATGTTTTGGTTTTGGGATGGACAGGAAGGATCTATTCAGACTCTCGTGGACTTGGGGAGAGTTCGTGTCATACTAACCCGACTGGACCACCGTGTACTGTAACGGCAGCCATTGAGGTCCAATCATCTAATATTTTACAGAATCGTCCGAGAACTAAAACATCTTTCTGTAGCTGAACACGATTGTTCTTTTCTCTAAACGTCCTGAGGTTTATCGTGCGGCCCTTCAAAGGGGACCTGAGCCTTATGTTGGGAACCGGACAGGTGGGCGGAGCCACACTTCAGGCTCGACATTCTTCACTGGAATAAAAGACCGTTTTCCACTGCAGGAACTTACGAGCTGAACTTCTGTTTGTGTTCCGACCACAGGAACCGTTCCCTGTTGTAACCGATCGTCAGCAGCCTTTCTGATCAATAACTGATGAGTCATTAGAACAGTTGAAGGACAGACGACGTTGTTCCAGCTTGCTTTTATCCATCGGCATGTGCGGTTAGCCACAGTGCTCGCTGTCCTGCTGGTCTCCAGTTCATCTTGAATTCAAGAGCTCTGGCCAGAGGTCATTAAGCATCACAGACGTCTTTGTCATGGTGCCCATTAGCTAGCTAGCTCGCTAGCTAAACCCTGAAAATGCTCTCTGCTGCCAACATGACCTGCCCATAGTCCAGCTGACCACTTTCTCGGGTAACTATACTAGTGAACACAAAGAGGCTCCACCCGATGGAACATCCAGGTACTTCGGTTTGTACCGGACGTCATTAAGCATCACAAAAGTCTTTGTCATGTTGCCTGCTACTAGCTAAACTCAGAAATTGCTTTCTGCTCGCCCACACCAACTAGTCCGAGGGTCCGCCTCCTCTACAGTTTTAAACACATCAACGAGCAAGTTGTTTCTGATGTCTCAGCGTCGTCGACCAACAGCTTCTTCTCCTGCAACCTAAGACCCAGTCTGCTAACATAGCAGACCTCCGTTGTTCTAACCTGAACCCACAGAACTGGAGTTACGTCCAGTGTCTGTTATTGGTAAGGCTGACCTGGGGGCTGTTCCTGTGAGCGTCGGCGCCACCTCGAGTTCCTGCAGCGGTCAAACGCCTGATGACTGAATGTTTCCAGATCGGTATTGAACGACGGACACACAAACACACACATTCCCAGCAGCAGGTACTGTTAAACTCCTCCCTCCTTCCTGGTGCTTCAACATTCAACCAAAACACACCGACCTGCCCCCCCGCTTCCTCCGTCCTCACCTCGTCCAATCAGACGTCTGGACGCCCCCAGCAACCAATCACACACTGATGACTACACAAACAGGGAGGGAGGCCCCATGACCACAACATCACCTCCACCGCCGCCACCGCCCATCAGAACTTGACTCCAGGAAGCTGCCGTTGCCTAGCAACAAGAGACAGTTTTAAAAAAAATGATAAAAAATTTAATAAAAGCCTCCTGGAGGAGAAGAAGAGGTGAAAAGACCCGCCGGCCAATCAGAACTGAGCTGTCTGTCCTGTTACATAGTGTGTATAAACAGACTGAGGACACACACACACACACACTGCACACACACACACACCACTGCTATGATGAAGATGACGATGATGATGATGATTATGATAATTAAGAATAATACGAGTCTGTTTTTCACCTCAATAGAGAGAAAAAAACTGTTTGTCATATTAATATTTGTGTGTGCGTGAGAGAGAGAGCGTGTTAGTGACGCCGTCCCGTGTGTGTGTTTTTCCACGGACAGTTAGCCGGTGTCCCGGTGTAGCGTTGCCATGACGACTCGTTGTGTTTGCGGTGACACCCATTTTTTTTGTTTTGTTTTTTGTTTTCTGTTTGTCTTTTTAGCGAACCAGAGCTGCTGCCGCCCCCCCCCATCTCTCCCCAGCGCTGCTGTTACCATGGCAACCGGCGGCGGCGGCGTTGGAGAGGCTAACGTGGCGGCGCCAGCTTTGGTTGAGTTTGGATATTCTGATTATGCATATCTTGTTTCTGTATATAGACCAGACGTCCAACCGCTGAACCGTCCGTCTCCGTCCGACGGCAGCAACACAACCTAACTGTGACCGTCTGTTTCTACTAAAACCGAAGCTGTAACCTTCAACACGCTCTCTACCTGTCTCTCTCTCTACCTGTCTCTCTCTCTACCTCTGTCTCTCTCTCTGTCTCTCTGGTGCCATTCTCAGACAACACCCCGGTCCTTAAGTCGAGTGCACCGCGGCGGGAAACAGTGCACGACGGAGGGCCGAGCGAACCACGAAGGGTTGAAGGTGGAATGTTACGGGAAGGTTTGGTTTGTTCTAGTCCACCTCAAGACAGCGCTCACATGCAAACACGTGTTCGAGCCAAAGTCCGACCCGGTGCTTACTGTCAGTTAGGGATGGTCCAGAACCAATTCTACGATTGGGATCAAGCCGATCACGGCAACTTCTAACAAAACATTCTGGCAGATTCATGGTAGCAACTGGACTGATTGAGTTCCTTGAAGACGTTCCACCTCCATCCAGGAGGCTCCATCAGCTCTGACTGACTAGTTGGGAGTTCCACATCCTGATATCCTGAAGGAGACATTAACACCTGAGTTTAGGTTTTAATTGGAGGTTTGTTGCTCCTCCCCCTCGTTATGCAGGTCGTTAGTGCTCCCCCTGACACAGTGGGGTTCGTTAGGGTCTCTGTGGCTCGGTGTGGATGTGGGTTCATCTTCCTGAGGAGAGATCTTAGGACTGAACTGTGAACAGGTGAGAGGTGATGCTTCAGACCTCCACCTCTGCTGAGGGATGGTCAGTCCAGTTGGACATAGATGGTTTCTTTCTTTTAACGAAACTGTATCAGCAGGAGGCTCTAGGAGCGCTGTCCTGACTTATCTGAGCTTGACTTACACCTGAGCTCTGGTTGGAGGTCCTGAACCTCCTCAGAGTCTCTGTCATGGTCCCGGTGCTGCTAAACTCCCACAATGCTCTCTGCTGCCACCATGAGCTGTAGTCTGAGTGACGCCTCCTCTGGTCTCTACAGGATTAAACAGGAAGAGGCTCCACCTGGTGGAACAACCAGGTACTACAGCTGGTCTACGATACGTGATTATTATTATCTAGGAGAATGTTATGTGGTGTTGGCAGACACAGAGTAGGGATGCAAACTTTAAGCCACTCAGTAGTCAACTCTGTTATCAATCACAACTAAAATGAATACAGTCGACGTGCTAGCATACGCTGAGGAAGCCATTTTGAACCAGTTACATCAGTCACCTGATTAAAGGAACACCATCCAAGTTTACGACCTCTATTATTAGATACTAGAGCCCTGATTGGAGGTCATTAACCTCCACAGAAGTCTTTGTCATGTGACCGTTGCTAGCTGAACTCCCACAACAAACACAAATACTTTTAGACACTCCTAAATTTAAACTTCTGTTTAGTCAACAGCAAAATTAGTCTTAACATTAACCAACCAGATGAGGACAGGTAATGAGCTTCCTGGTTATGTGAACGCAACTGATTCAGGAACTAAATATGGAGTCCATGTAAGCACCACATCCAGAACAGGATCATCCGTCCTGTGAGAGCTGTATTCAGACCGACGAGAACAAACCTAAACTCTCCCTAAAGGGCAACACACGCCGACGGCATCTCGAAGCAACGTGTTCCGCATTCGTCAGTTCTATCAGTGTCAGAAAAACGTCTTTATCTGTTTACGCTGCGAAACAGTTTTTGGGGAACGATGTCTGGAAGCAGAAGTGTTTCTGTTGGTTGGATGCTGGACAGAAGATACCGAGACCCACATGTAGACCTCTAAAACATCTCGATGGAGGTTCAGGAAAGACGCTGGTTTAAGTTGGAAGTTAAACTGGTTTTATTCTACATTTCCTGGAAACATTTACAGGAGATCTTCTGCACAGTCTTTTAATTTTTGGGGGGTTAACTGGAAAACATGTGGCAGTAAAATGCTTCATATCTGCATTTCCCTGAAATCCATCAAGGTGTAAAGTTTCCATGAATTCAACCAAAACATGGTGACAAGAAAACACAAGTTGAACCAACGTCGTGTCTCTTAACTGTGTTCTCAGAGATGATGCCGAGGCGTGTGTTGCATGTAATGTGGTTGGATGCTGCGTTCACGTCACGCCGTCGTAATTACCAACGTCCAACACGTGTAATTATGACTGACCGGCGCTGATTACTGCACAAGTGCCTGAAAGTCAACAGACCTTAATTCAAGGTGTTTAAATTCCAACGTCACGTGAACGCGGCACCAATCGGCCGACTGAAACTAAAAGCAGACGCCACTTTGTTCCCTGTTTCAGGAATCGAGGATCATTTTGTTCAACAAAAGTCCAAGAAAGGTTGAATATCGTTAAGCAACACGAGCGACCTGTGAACTCGGAGTGCACGTGAAGGGTTGAGGGCGGACTGTAGTGCACTGAAAAGGGCACAAGATGGCGACGGTGCACTGTGGGAGGTGGGAGCAGTGCATTGTGGGATGTTGTAGGTTGGAAGGTAGTGCACTATGAAGGGTGAAAGGAAAAGTGCCCGATGGGAGGTTTTCCTCATCGCTGGGAAGAGTTCCAGATGGAACTGGTGCACGTTCGAGGGTTTAGGCTGTGAAGTAGCACACGATGGATCCCACAGCAGGAAGCGGTGCAGGCTGGAGGCTGCACCGTGGAAACGAGGCCGTGTGCTGAGGTTCAGGGTGGTGAATAGTGCACTGCAGAGGGCGTAGGGTGCTGTTTGAGACCTCGCCTTGTTGCCAAACGGCAAACTCAACTAACCAATCAAACAGTGTTATTTGTACAGAACTAACAGCTGCTAACTGACTGCTAACAGCTCTCTGTCGTTGTTTGTAATAAACTTCATTTTTCATCCAAAACTACCTGCATGTGGCGTTTATTTGACAAAACTACACAACGAACCAGCTTCACGTTGATTTTTCTTATTTATGTTTAGACAACTATGGAACACAACAAAACAAAAAAACGTCTTCATCAAGTGTCTCCTTACAGTGAACACGGAAACACTTGTAATCACCATAGTCTACTGCCAAGAAGTGGTTCTATCATGACGCTGCCACC